GGATGCTTAATACTTAACAATTAGAAAGGAAAAATATGGCGTGTGCGAAATAGCGAAATGTGTTCTGTTTTTCTTTCACTGCAAAACAATAGCCTAAGTGTGTTGTCACGTCAGTGATGCAGTGATTGAACCTGTCCTCTTCCACTGATTTCCATGCTTTTGTTCGGCTGTGTCTATTTGATAGACTGTTGCTACTACATACATACATCACTACTGCGTCAAACCTTCAATCAGCTTGGATCGTGGTTCCACGTTTACTTTCTGCTGGTACAACTGCTTTCGATTTGTTAAAATTTTCTACATTTACCTTTATAGCTTATTCTGTCTATATATGCCTCCAGTCGAAATGGTCTCGTTCCACACATGCCCTCATCCAAACCTATTTTGTCTCTGAAGATAGTACGGATTGCCTTTACACTTCAGTTCAGTTAAACAACTATGATCGTAGCAACGAAATGCGTGGATCCAGTTGCCACGACTCACCTCGCAAGAATAACAATAAGCAACGCCGGTGGGATAGTGGGTTTGGGTGCAACTGTCATGTGGAGCAAATGAAGTGCGAAGGAAATACCTTATACTAACCTGAATGGAACAAGAATTACCAGCGAGATCCAAGAAACCGAATGCTGGAACGCCACTGACTGCGAGACTGCTCCATGTCTGTTACAGTGTGGCCCATCCAGGGGTCTGCATCCAGAAGGACGGAACGTACCAGCCTGATCAAGTGTCTCTGTCAATTTCTTCACGCCTCTATGCCACGTCATGGAGTGGCCACCTCTCAGTTTCACCCAACTTAGTGGAGCCACGGCATATAGTGCACGCCAAGGAAGCCGGTCAAGGAGCTGGCGGTGGGCATGCTTAACCAACGTAAACGATTACGATTCAGTAAGTACGCAATTGAAGCACCGGAAGGCTTTTTTCAAAAAACTAGCTGGCGGAACTCAGCATTGCTCACCCCGTATTCCCACCAGACATGAGCTATACTCCGCAAGCACCGGTGGTCAAACACGGCCAAACATTTAATGTCTCCGCTGCGAACTGGCCATGTATGTGATCCATACAGTAAGACCGGCCTTACCGCAGCGTTATACACCCTACCTTTCACTGACACTCTGATATCCCGCCGTCTCTATAGATGGTTGTGTCTCTGGGAAGCCACGTTAGCCTTGTTGGTGTATGAAATAACCTTCTAAATGGTGTGACCATCAGAGATGACAGCTACCAAGGTAAGTGAACCGATCCATCACTTCCATTGGATGATCGGAGTATCGGGGATAGCTAGAACCGGTAGTGTATCGCTCCAGTCATACAACAGTACTTTGCACTTTGAAGATACAAAACACTGCTGAACCATGCAACCTTACGCGTCAGTCTACCCAGTAGTATTTGCATAGCCGGTGCGTCAGATCCACGGAGAGCTATGTCGTCCACATACTCCAGCTTTGTCAGTCGGCCATCTGGTAAAACTTCACTCCGGTAGAGCCTGAATTATGATCATGATCATTTTGACCACAAAATTAAAGAAAAGAAATATAAGACAACCCAACGAAACCGACTTGTCTTGGGAAACTCAGAAGGCATGTTCCCGTAGACTGTTATAGGGCCTAGCAAACCACGCCAGAGAGATAGCATAATAGAAGGGAATATAGCTTGCACGCTTTTCACAGATGGGCGATGCCACAAGCTGGTGCAGTCTACAGAGCTGAAGGTGGCTTTCAAGTCAAGGAAAACCGTCTCTCTACAAACTAGCGAAGTGTAAATATTTGGCCGATGTAACCACTACCATGGCGAAATCTAGTTTGGCTTTGTGTTTCTATTCTCATTTGGACCAGTAAATCGTCGAAGAATAATACCCGTGAGAAGTTTAGAGGCAATGAAAATAAGGCTAATGCCTCGATGATTTTTGCACATAGTACTCTGCCCCTTCTTGAGGATGGACACACTAGTTGACAGTCGCCAGTCCGAAGACGCTTACTCAGTTCACCTATTACTACTACATAGAGGCAGTTTCATTCCGCAGTGTTAGCACCATGTTTCAGCAAAAATGGGGGGCCGTCGTCCGATCCAGGAGCTTTGTTTCGTTTCAACACGGAAAGCTCATGCGTAATTTCTTCCAAGGTGGTAGATGTGACATCAACTTCCCATTTGTACTTAAGGGATTCAGCAAATGGCAGTGTCGCACTAGGCCTGCTGAACAGCTTTTAAAATGTCCCGACCAGTGGGCTAGTAGACGAGGGTGTGTATCCATCAACTGTCCATTTTTGTCGGCTGTTGTCTAACTCACTGATGGCTTTTCCAGAAACCTGTTCCGAATGAGCAGGGATATCACTCAGATGTTCCTATTAGTGCTAGTTTTCTCCATCTCACGGTCCATTGTCACCCAAAACGTCGATTCGAAGACTCCTTGTCAGACGTGGTTGTTAGGGGGTTTCTGACACGCTGAAACTCGCTACCGATTGGAACCTCTTTGCGTGCTTCGGTCAAGCTGATTGATGTCTCAGCGATGCACAGTTCGGACGTCTCAAGTTAGGCGGACTGCGGGCGTCAAAGGCATTCTTCATTGCACTCCAGAGACGATCCCAGTTGGCGTTCGGTTCACCAACCTCATTCATCACTGACACTGGGTGGGACAGTTCGTTATGATATTGTTGATCTGCAGAGTGCGAGTTCAAGTTTTAGGTAATGTTAGAGGATGGGCGCTTATCTGAAGCTGGGAAAGTGAGCGCCTGGCGTGCGTGCGCTGGTGCATGATCGGAATCCTGTAACGTCATACAAATTGACCGACATTCTTGGACTGATGTGCGATGGCGATATATGCCAGATCTTTGAGGAATTCGTTGGACGCCAGGTGACGTGGTGCGAATGTTTGTGCTAGAAAGCATTGCTGCTAAAGTATAAGTTGTGGTCAATACACCGTTACAGGAATCGATCACCATTTTCTTTTGGCATGCATTTATTCCGAAGCGACCTCCTATAGGTTGTTCAGAGTCCGTAAAATGACTCACTTGGCCATTCATGTCACCTGCAACAATCAAAGTGTCAGTATTCTTTGCCATACAAAGAAGAGATGAGTTTTGTCGACAGAAATCGTCTTTGAAACCTTGAGAACGGCATTCGGTAGAGGCATAATGTGTCGATACACTTATTATTTATTTATTCATTTATTAACTCCAATAAGGGTTCAATGTCGAACCGCACACCTACGGCTGTTCACCGGTATCCAGTCGAGTAGATTGCTTTAAGCATATTTGCTGAGGATGATACCAACACCCTACGTACCTTAAGCTATTTACTCAGGGTCGCGAAGAGATTCAGACCCAAGGAGTCGAGGATTCGTCATAACGCTGTTATCTTATATGCGTGTTTCCGAGACAGCATCTCAATACTATGACTGAAGAGTGAGAGTTAGTGCTGCCTGCTGGCCGATCTGACCCGGATTGCGAACATTAAACGAACCAATGGGAATTGAGACTAGGTCTGATGTAGGAGCTGCATGTGTCCATCGCAGCGGCGGCAAAGTCAACAGAAAAAAGAGGGTTGTGAGCGAGGCGAAAAACAAGAATGAGAAGACGGAATATTGTCGACGGGATCGTGTGTGCAAGTGGTACTCTCTGGCTACCCATTCTGAGAGAGGGGTTTGTTCGAGGTCATACCTTTAGCTTTTGGCTCAACAGTTTAACTCACAAGGCAGTTAGTCTTTGGTTCAATAGTCTTACCCACAAGGTAGTGGGGAGCAATTCCAGCTCGGGAGTGTGGTTGCAGAGATCCATTGATATCTTTTCGAGACCTGTCACACACAGCCTTTGAAGATTTAGAACAATGCACTTGTGCTTTACGATCGTTATGTTACACTCCTGCGACCGCGGTCAGCCTCAGGTGGGAGTTGTCAAGATTGCTCCAAATTGACCATTGGCTGCCCGACTTGAAGCGGGCGGTAGTAAACCAATGAGCATCGGAAAGTGCCCTGCCACCACCAGAGGTAATGCGTGGCGCTTGTGCTCTACCCCAATCGAGCTGAGAGCTTATAACCCATAAAGCTGTTGTTTCCTCTGGTTAGGTTCTAAAAGAAGAGGGCCATGGACTGAGTTCGCCTGACCCCTAACCATTGACCTGTCTGGTATGAGTGACTCTGAAGGCACTTGAAAAGTGCCACCCAGCTTAGCTCAATGGGTCACTGAGGTACGCAAGCCATCGCACCTCGTTAAAGTCCAGTCCCGTTGCGTTGATTGTGATGGATGACCGATACAAGTAAGTAGACAAAGGCCTCTAGCTAAATTAGGATGCAATACCTGGAATACAGTTTGTACAGCCAAATATGGGGTCCAAATAATTAGTTCATGAGAGCATGACCTAGTTGAAAGTTTCCGAATTCCATCAACTACTGGGTGTGTGAATACTAGCTTGTTGGTCGTTCAATTGGTGCGCTCACTAGAGGGTTCCGAGGTAAATCATTCTCATTAATGGACTATAAGTTAACACGCTTTCATTAGCTAGGCAGTCAGCTTCAGGCTGTGTGCGATTAATCTTCTCCGGGCTGCTTGGGGGTTGCTATAGACGTATTTCCTTAACACAACCTAGAATCAGAAGCCAGCGGCTTCGGCAAGAGAGCATATTAACGGATTTAAATGTTCAGCAAGCGATCTGGGCGATTCCACTGGGTATTGTAGATAGTTTTTGCTATCACTGAAATGCTCGGTTTTCCGGATTTGCTTATCTGTCCTTCAGATACCTTTTCAGATCATTCTGAGCTTCCTGCATTCCCAGATCAGAAGTAAAAACTGCGGTTTTTGGAAGGTCTATACTTGTCTCGTTCTTTTTCGTTCGTCTTTTCCTTCACCATCTGTCATTAACATGTCCGCATTTTACTATCGGTTATCTCGCACTTTTTTATTGTCATGGTTCTTTATGATCTCTGATTTTTGTCACTGTCGATCGATTACTAGCTGGTAACTCAAAACTACTCTTTGTCCAATTGTCACCTGTCCTGTTCTTTGTTTACAGTTCCAATTCGTTTTATCTCGGGCAAGTTTTTATATCCTTCTTGTCTTCCGTGATGCAACGACTCCGAGATTCCGAATTATCACGCTGTCCTTCGGAAGTTTTTGAGATCATATGTAAACTTGGCAAAGGCTCCTACGGGAGTGTTTTCAAGGCTCGTTATAAGGCTACCGGTGGCATCGTCGCCGTGAAAAAAGTAAGCGATCAACCACTTGTGCTTTCCTATGCGGTTCAACCTACTTTGAGTTGAAGATTGCGAAAGCCTTCGTCATTAGTTATGAACATAAATATTTCACGATACAGCTGTCAGTGCATTTTATTCATGGTTTTTGGGGAATATTTTACAACCACCTCACGTTATTCTATTCGCACGTTAACTTTTGGTACTGACAGTATTTTGCGCGTTGCGATTTTCATTGCATTGTTTCTCATGAGAGCGTTTAAGTTGCCAGATCCAAAATTTGTTCTTACGTGCTTTGGTATGAAACCCGAACCCACGAGCTGACTCAGATGCGCTTTTACTGAGGGCTATCACCCATGCCAATTCTCCTCGTTTAATCTTTATCTAAGGACCACCGCTAGGCTACATCTGGGTTACCGTTTAGAATCGCATTAAACCGAAAAATATAACAACAGCAATATATCAGGGATTTGAACTGGTACTTCGGTGATGCACAACCACAGTGACTCAGAGACTAACGAATATTAAGAGAAGGAGAATAAGGACCTAATGCAGTACCTCAATACCCCTAGGAACACACGTAGCACATTGCTGTTGCATACTTAAGCATTTTTGTAGTCTTGCTCGCGTTGCGTTCAGTGATTATTCCCCTAATCATTGTTTTTGTCCTTCACTTTTGGTTCTACACTCCCACTAGTTTCCACTACTCCGTGGTGCATAAGCAATCTCTGTGCACTCTTTTCTCGGGGGATTACAAATGCACAAATCTACTGTAGTTTTTATTCTGTACTCATCCTCCCACACTAGCTGATCTCAACCATTCCGAAATGTATAGGCTGATCGTGTTTGGTGTGTCAAGCATATGGTCTTTCCACATTGCTTATTTCCTCGCGCATGTTTTTTTTGTGGTGACGCGAACGTCCTGATTCGCCAATAGCCCAACAAATCGACGAGAGTCTATTTAAAAGCTACGAAAGACGAAGTATTTAAAGAATCACACAGTTATCATTATATCTAGATCAATTTAGTTCAGTTGCACATCTATGGTCTGGGCACCGAAGTGTGCTGGACCCAGTTGCCACGACTCACCTCGTCAGAATTACGGAGAATAACAGTGGCAAGAAATGGTTAAGTGCCCATAGAATATAAAGCAAATGGAATCAAGAAGGAGATGAGCTAAAACAATCAGGATGGAATGAGACTTAACAAGATGTATGATGCATGACACCGAATGCAGGAGTGCCACTGATCGCTCGGCTGCGCCATCTGATAGAGTCTCCAACCACTAGTGCTTATATTATCCCTAGGCCCCATCTACGAAGACGGCACACAAGCCTAATCAATTCTTTTCGTCAGTTTCTTCAAGCCTTTATTCCATGTCATCGACTGGCCACCTTACGGTTTCGAAAAACTTAGTGCAGCCACGACGTACAATGCACACAAAGGAAGTGGTCAACATGCGTATGGAGAACAACCTAAAATGTTAGCAGCTGAGCTCTAGAAAACACCCGAGTGAGGCACCAGAAAGCTTCTTGCTAAAAACAAACTGGCACTCCAGCATTTTTACATGGTGTTCCAAACTCGTGTCGAATGGAGCAGCATATCTAGTCAACAGAGTCAGATCCATCTTTCAGCAAAGATGGAGGAAGGTCGTCGGGTCCACTGAATGCTCATGTAGAATCTCTTCCAAGGAGATACGTGTGGCATCAACTTCCCATTTGGGCCTAAGTGCTTCAGCAAACCTCAGTGTCGCACCAGGCCTGCTGAACAGCTTTTAAAATGTCCCGACTACTGGGCTAGTCGACAATGATGTGAATCCATCAACTGTCCATTTTGTCGGCTATTGTCTAACTCACTGATGGCTTTTCCAGAAACCTGTTCCGAATGAGCAGGGATATCACTCAGATGTTCCCAATAGTGCTAGCTTTCTCCATCTCACGGTCCCTTGTCACCCACAACGTCGATTCGAAGACTCCTTGTCAGACGTGGTTGTTGGGAGTTTCTGACACGCTGAAACTCACTACCGATTGGAACCTCTTTGCGTGCTTCGGTCAAGCTGATTGATGTCTCAGCGATGCACAGTTCGGACGTCTCAAGTTAGGCGGACTGCGGACGTCAAAGGCATTCTTCATTGCACTCCAGAGACGATCCCAGTTGGCGTTCGGTTCACCAACCTCATTCATCACTGACACTGGGTGGACCAGTTCGTTTTGATATTGTATTACTGACTGAGAGAAGTTAAGTTTTGGCATTTCTTTTCATCTACTAGAATGAGCGGCAGGCCTGCGTGCACTGAAGCGTGGTCAGAATCTCTGCGCGTGTTCCAAATCGGTCGATTGTACTGAACTTATATACGTCATTCTATTTATGCGCTTTTCCTTATCACCTTGCATGCATTGCTTGGTCACTGTACCGAACGATCACTGGTCGTACTGCTTAGCAGTAAGTGAATTCAGTCAGGGAGCGCCATATTTGACCATTTACTTTTGACCATTTTTACTTACCGGTAACGTATTCCATTGGAATCACTGGAAGCTTCTCGTCTTTACACTTTCTAGCACATCCGGTGGGCATTTTGCACTCGTTTATCCCCCTTAATTAATGCACATTATATCTCCCAGTAGTCTCAACCAAGTGAATCATGTTTCCGCTGACAGCACTGCTGATCAATACGGCCATTCAGACCACTGTCCAGGCACCTCCCGTTTCACAAGAGGAAGGCCTGGTCAGAACTTCACTTGAGGCTATTTCTCAGCTTAACGGCGTTGTGACACTGAGCCTTTTCGACAGTGTGAACGGACTTCACCCGGGACGCACGAAACCTGACCAAATATGGAACACAGCTACGATGTGAGTAGCTGCCAACTTCGCGTGAGCTTCGGCTTAGTGTTTGAGGGCATGTCTTAAGGCCAACAAACAGCCAAATATGGCAAACCAGTCATGTGAAACACGTTTCAGTTGATTAATGCCAGGACGCTGATGATCCGGGAATCATGTTTTCCATACTTAGAATATTCGGTTAACCTATAAATAGACCCGTTCTATTCATAGAATATACGTCGTTTACCGTGGCCTAACTTGGTTTTCACAGTTGCATTGGACGCCAGGCAATGAAGACCGTTGGTAACATTGCCACAGTCGAGGCAGTACAACAGGGTCTCGAAAATTCAATGTTTTACTAATCAAAATAGCTCTGGTTACATATTTGAATTGAGATGCCATCGATGAATGTTCCATGCTATCAGGTACCGGTAATTGCTCTCGTTGTATGGTTCCAAGACCATATTGCTTTCATTTGTGCACTCCATGGAAAATCGCTCAAACTGGCTAGCTCTTGGGCAATGAGCCTCGAGCTCGGTTGATCCGAGTTTCTACTTAGTCTACCGGCAAGGAAACGGCTTGAACATCTTCTGTAAACGGGCTCCCTTTACAAGGTGCAAAGTGAATCTCTTTCAGCAGATTTCTGTGGGTCAGTCGTAACGAGACAACCTAAAAGGTAGTGCGACGGTATGAATGCCCTTAATGACCCACGAAACAATGCTAGATGGTGCTTCTTGTACCTTCAGAGTCACTGATTTCAGATTGGTCAATGATTTGAGGACAAACATAATCTACTGGTCCTCCAAGTCGGTGGTTAGAGTGAAGGTGGCTCTTTGTCTCTCGGGGAATTTCCGAAAGCATTTCTTCCTGACCCGATCCACTTGCGGCTGTAGACAGATGGTAAGCGAAGTTCCGTGCGAAATCGGTGGCGAGCACATTTAGTTTCAACGTCGACTTATGCGTTTGGCTGTGCATTTTGAACAACAGTTTATCTGGCCAACAGCACAGGCGAGTACTCACGCATGGATCCAATTCTGTCTGGTGTGTAGACGCTTCACCTCCACTTGAGGCTCGAGGTGCTGCTTACGAACTTCGCCACCTGAAGCGCTTCAAAGCCCTTGACCCAGACAAACTTAGTTCGGCATCTTTTCAAAGATAGGTCCATAATTTGTTCGGGAGTTAACTTCCCTCCTCCAAGAAGTTGGGATCACCGAAGCAGTGCGAATATCGTGTCTTCAAAAACGGTGCCAGAATTGACTGCGCTAACCATAGCATAATAGTATCCAAGTAACCTGACTATTCCCATTTAAGTTTCAACAACAAAAAGCCAATGGTTCATCCTCAGGTCATTACATTCATATAAAGCGACTTAGCAAATGGATGCTTGTCCACTGTTTGGAACGATCGCTAGCCGTACTGATTCGCAATCGATGAGCTCAGTCAGGGAATGCCAGATTAGATCTTCACCTTTTTGCTTAATGGAAAACCACATCATGAGAACCACTGGGAGGTGTTTGTCCTTGTATTTTCTAACACATCCGGTGGGCATCTTATCTTCGCTCAAGATGTCGTCTGAGCAGATTCAACGTGCTCTCGTGTTAAGACAATGCATTAAGTTGCGCTTATACCTGAGAGGAACAAAACTATGTGTTCGTGTACCGACCAATCCATGTTGTCTTTCTGTAAACCTGCCGCTGAATAGAGCCATCTGGTCTTCTGGCTAACAGGATATCATAAAGGGTAGTGCTAGCCTTTAGAATAGTTTACAGCAGCGATCAAAAGGTCACCGCTTTCGTACATGCGACAGACCAAGCAATTTACATTCCATTTTCCATTGCGTCTTTGGGTTCGCATAAGAAGATAGTCCAGGCTCCTCACCTTCTCTGACCAGCAAAAACAGAAAACACTGTTGACAACCTTCGGTCAAACTCCTTAGCACGGAACAAATACACTAGGGCTTACTTCGTTTTCTCATTTCCGTCACTAACTCACGTGCTCTATATCATTTGACCTAACTGGGTCGATTTTATTTGTTTAACCCCATGTATATAATAGCATATGTTTTGTTTTTTCTTCGTTGTTGTTCTCCTCTCTTGTTGTAGTCCAATTCATTTGTATTTCATCTCGCCCATAGTTATGTGTTGTTTATGTTGATGATGATTCCGATGCGTAAAGTGAGCCGACCCGTAATTTTC